ACCACTCCAATAGTATGCTCCCTTGTGTGAGTGTGAAGGCGATGGTGCGATCTCACGTGCACGGGTGCTTCTGGCTGGTAAGCGTTGGCCTGGGTGGGTTGGTGGGTGGGTGAGTGTGTGGGTGGGTTGTGCTGTGGTGCGTTAGCGGGCTACTGCAGTTTGAAGGCAAGGGAAGGAGTGGCGATGGTGCGATCTCATGTGCACGGGTGCTTCTGGCTGGTGAGCGCTGGTTGGGTGGCTGGTTGGGTGGGTGGGTGGGTGGGTGGGTGGGTGGGTGGGTGGGTGGGTGGGTGGTGGGCCATTAGGCTGGCAGGCTAGTGGGGTATCAAGACACGACACGGCAGTTATGCATGTTTACTCCAGCCAAGTGCTATGAGTGCTTTGAAGTGCTTTGCATGTGCCTCACAGGTGGTGAGTGTTGGGTTGGTGGTTTGCTTTAGTGGAGGAGACTATTTGTGATGCATGTGCGTGCACGGCTGCTTCTGGCTGGTGAGTGTCAGGCAGGCTTGCGGAGCGGAAAGGCATTAGTACATGTGTAGAAGGCTGCTACAGAACAGACGGGTGCAGAGCACCTTCTCTGCCTACTAGCCACATGTTGCAATACGCCACGAGGTACCCACTTTGTCATCATCTCCGTGAAACACAATGCAGTGGTGAAGCCTGCATGACCAGAGTCCTCTTAGCTAGGGAATTCTTTACTCTCTCCTTACTTGCTAAAGCTTTTCTCTAGTACTGCTGCCCTTCCGCCATGAGTGACGAGGACACAATACAGTGGTGAAGCCTGCACGGAGTGTGTGTGCACCCCCTCCTGCCTGATATCACATGTTTCAATATGACGCACCATAATATACCCGCTGCGTCATTGCCTCTGCTAAACACAACACAGTGGTGAGACGTGTACAGAGGAAAAGGCATGCTCACGAAGCCCTTATATTTTAATACTGTAATACATGCAAGGAAATGTGCAAGAAGAAACATTTGTTTGGTCATACGTGTGAAATCTTGAGCTGGAACGTAAACATGTTAACGGGATGATGATATGTGATGCTACAAAATTATGTTTAAATATTTGTCTGGTTAATCAAACCAGTGCATGCGGCATGGCGTTACTTCGTTAGATGTTTTTCCTCTGTTTTACTCTGCTTGATATCTCCTCCTTTTTCACCTTTGCTTTTTCCTTAACATTCCTTTCACGGGCTCTTCGTTTCTTTCTTTTGGTCTTTTCTTTGTCTTTTATTTTTCTTTCCTCAATTCTTTTTGTTCCTTCATTTGGCTTTTGCCTTCAAATGTGTTGCGCTGGCCATCTTTGGTTCTCTCTTTCTTCCTTGCTTGGTTTCTTCTGTCATTTCTTCTCTCTCTCTCTCTCTCTCTCTCTCTCTCTCTCTCTCTCTCTCTCTCTCTCTCTCTCTCTCTCTCTCTCTCTCTCTCTCTCTCTCTCTCTCGAATGGTCCTTGCATTTCTTTGGGGGGTGGTACAACGGAAGGTGCAAAACACACAAGCACAAGCTCAACAGAAAACCGGCATCCTAACTATTCCAAGTCCCCTACCTACTCTGCCCCCCCCCCTGTCCGACCCTACTGGTCGAACGGGGCCTCAATCAACTGGTGCAGCTGTCCCTCACTGAGAGGGATGATGGGTCCTCTAAAACCGAGCTCGTCCGCCGCCAAGGCCTCATTGGTCTTGGTGCGGAGGGCGTTGGCCTGTGCCCGCTGGAGGCACACGCTCCAACGCTGGCGGTACTCCGTCAGAAGCTTCGCTGCTTCGTAGGAGGTAGGGGCTGCGTTAAACCGCAGCTTTGCCGCCAGCTCCGCGCATTGCCGCAGGTAAGCCAGCACCCCCGGCGAGGGGTAGCCGTATGTTTCCACTGCGAGCGCGTGGAACCCCACCCACGTGTTCCGCCGTGCGTACTTCTCCTCCTTTTTTGCCGCTGCCGCCCTAGCTGCCCAACCAGGAGCTCGGTTGCAGTTCTCGTCCTGGTATGACATCGGGTCCGTCACGGTCACGTCGCACATCCAAACCTCCCCGGTCAGTGGATGACGGATGGTGACATCCGCCTTTAGGTTTTCAACCAGTGAGTAGACATACGTCTCCTTATGAACCGTAAAACCCGCCTCAGCCCCGATATTTGCTATCTCATCCCGCAGAGCGTGATGGGTAGCGGTCCTCCCTTTCCCCTTCTCGCAGCGCATGAGGTGGTTGGGGAGGCGGTCGTCGGGGAAGGTGGTGCGGTAGCGGCAGTCACAGCGTCTAGGCACTGGGAGGGGGAGGCCTAGGCGGAAGGCAGCTGCAGTTGAGAGCTGGGAGGGGCCCATTCGGAGCGAGGGGATGAGCGGGATCGCCAGCAGCCAATCCCCCGCTCCTGGGCCTAGCACCGACTGCATCCGTTGCGCATGGCCTGAAAGGGGGTTGGGGCGCATCCGCCTTGCCTCGCGCATGGCCCTCAAGAAGCGGCGGGAGTGAACCGCCAGCGCTAGGCTCTGCTGTAGCTTCAGTCCCTTGGGGTCTGTCTTCCCGGCCTGGAGCACCTCGAGAGCCTCGGGTGGGAGAGCTGCCTCAGCTGCGGCGAGGCGTGCAGGCAGCGCGTGCGGGGAGCCGTGGGTAGGGTCCAGTAGGGGGAGGAGCGCAGCGACAGCAGGGTGTAACGACTCCTCCAGGGAGTATAGAAGGTGGGCGGCGCTGATCACTGAAGCGAGGTAAGCGTAGCTGCCTTCAACGGCGGGGTCAGTGATGCCCAGGCCTCCCAGAGTCACGGGCAGGGCCGCCTGCCGCCAAATCCTCCGCCTCTCCCGGGCACTCCTCGGTCTCATGATGTGGGCCGAGTCCAGGAAGGTGTGTAGGAGCTGCTCCCCCCAAGCTGACCATTCCGCTTCAGGGAGAGCTTCCAGGGGGGTGGTTCTGGCCAGAAAAGAGGCTCGGCGGCTGACACAGCGGGTGAGGAGGAGGAGGCTCAGCTGGGGGTCCATCTGGGCCAGCAGGGGGAGTGGGGATGCTGCTACTGCCAGTCTCTCTCTCACGGCGCCCGCGCACCCCCGGGGTGTGCCAACCGGGCTGCCGAGAATCTGCAGCCCCTCATCAGAGATAGTAATTCCCGGAGGCACTGCAGAGGGGTCGATTGGAGCGGCGGACCACGCCGCGCATTTGGCCGGGTTGTGTACCAGGCCGAGGGCGGCAAGTGCGGATGTGAGGTGGTCGAAAGCTGCTGTGCAGGCCGAGGCGTCGCCGAGCAGCGTGATGTCATCGGCGTACGCCAGCAGGACCACCTGAGGGTGTGCCGCCGCCATGGCAATGAGGCACGGGTGGATGCTTGCCGCGAACAGGAGGGGGCCGAGCGGGTCCCCTTGGCGAACTCCTCTGGCGCTCTGCAGCGGGGCTGCGCCGAAGTCGTGGTCGAGGTAGAGCGAGGAGGGAGCCCCGTAGGATAGGCGGACGAGGGGGATCAGCTTCTTCAGCGCCTCGTTTCTCAGTCCTTCGAACACCGCTCTCCTTTCGACCGCGTTAAAAGCGTTCGCGAGGTCGATCTGCAAGGCCACTGCAGCAGGGTGCACTTCCAGGTACGTGCGAGCGGTGTGGATAGCCGCTTCGATCCCCCCTGCTACTGCCACGCCGAATTGAAGGGGGGCAAGGTGAGTACGGGCGGCTGGCGCGGTCAGGATTAGGGCGGCCTTTGCTATAATCCGGAGGAGACACTCCCCCACCGCTATTGGCCGCGTCCCTCCTTGGGGTTTCGTAAAGGCTAGCAGGCGGGAGGCCGTGAGAAGATCCCCCGCGGCTGTTGGGAGTTTCCCTGCTAGAGCTGTGTTGGAGAGGGCGAGGAGGTGGGAGAGTACTTCGGCATTCCCTAGGGCTGCGTCGCGGATATGCTCGAAAGTGGTTCCTGAGGGGCCGGCCCCGACTCCGTTGGGGAGCTTGGCGAGGAGGCGCCTGAAGTCGCGGGCTTCGATAGTGGGTGGGTCTTCAGCCGAGGCGGTGTGGAGCCAGTCAGGGAGAAGCTGGCTGGCAGGTGGATGTCTCGTCGCGAGGGCTTCCAGCACTTCAGGTGAGGCAGGTGACACAGGGGTGGCCTGGAGGGATTGGAGTGATTTTGACAGGTTACCCCGTTTTGCCAGACCTTCCGCCCGTGCCAGTATTCCAGTTGTGTCGAGTGAGTGGCGAGGCTGCGGAGGCAAGGAAATCGCCTGGACAGCTTCTTCGTATAGGTCCGCCCAGAGCCCTTGGCGAAATCGCAGGAGCCGATTCATCATCGCGCTCCAGTCAGGTTTACGGGCTGACGAGGTGCGAAGGAGTATGCGCGGGAGAAAGGTCAGTAGTTTCCATCCTGGCGCAGACTCGGGATTGGCCGCCAGGTGGAGTAACGGCGTCAACATACAGATCGCGAAGGAGTCGCGAAGGTCTTTGGGGGGGTGGCGAGCGAGAGGAGGTTGGCGACTGTCACGCAGCGGGTCGAGGTCCCAGACTGCAACCTGAGCGAATAGCTCAGAGTTTTTCGCCAGGTCGTCAGGTTTGAGCATCGGGGGGGTTGGACTCGGGGCTGCGGAATTTTCATTGGCTGTTGCAGAGTCAATTCTTTCTTCTGGAGTGGCTCGATTTCCCCTCCTTGCTTGAATTCCCCCCGCGGTTCGATTCTGAACTGAGGTTCGGTTTGCAGGTTCACCTCTGGCCTGCTGGTTTGGGAGCTCCGCTTCCCGCAGCAGCTCCAACTCTTCCTCGTCCTCCTCGGCCTCTGCTTCTAACATCCCCTCGCTTTCAGGGTTAAAGGCAGGGTCCCCCTCTTCACTTTCCTCATTCTCAGGAGGCGGCTCTGATTCCGTGCGTGCGCGTGTCTGTCCCACATGGTTTAACCTACCCCACACAGCAAGGTGCGAGCAAGCAGTGGTGCAAACTCCTCTCAACCGAGGCAGGTGACATCTGCAGAGGCGCAGGAGGCGGCTCTGAGGGCGGCAGGCAGGCTCATGGACGCCCTGCCCTCCCCGTGCATGTGCAAGCACATCCATCCGTCTCAGATGTCCGGCGGTTTCTGGCTGGTCCGTGTCCCTCCATCGCCCTCCATCGCCCTCCATCGCCCTCCATCGCCCTTCATCGCCCTCCATCGCCCTCCATCTCCCTCCGTCTCCCTCCATCTCCCTCCATCTCCCTCCATCTCCCTCCATCCCTCCATCTTCTTGACACCTTCCGTGGCTTCGTTGTTCTCGTTATCACTTCTTTCTTCCGTGGCCGTCACAAACGTGCCCCGGTTTCCGAGGCGTCTCAAAAAGACCCTGCTCTCGACGTGTCCTGCCGTCTCAAATGTCAGGCGACTTCTCGCTTGTCCATCTCTCTCTGTTGTTGTATCTCCTTCGTTTGCCTCCTTGTGTCATTTATCACTTGTCGCTTTGTTTTGTTTGGTTTTTTCTCTCTCACTTGTTGTCTTCTGTTGCAGTCCTCAGTTTGACTGCTTGTTTTTCCTTATCTCATGATTTCTTGTTTATACCCTACTGGCACTCTCACCTTTTTCTTGTTTACGAAGGCAAACAAAAAGAAACAAACAAACAAACAAATCACCACGTACTCACACATTTTGAAGTCACAACATCCCTTAAAATGGGTCTAACAGGGCCAAGAAGCATCGTATATTCACACGGCTTGAAAAACCAACCGCACACAGAAGCAAACAAGCAGCACACGATTGTACCTCGAGGCTAAACGATTCAACTGTCACAATCCCGCTGTGCAGCTCAGACTAATTGCATTAAGCAGACCGCACCACTCATATGGTGGAAGCATCTCTGTTCTTAACCTCTTTTGTAGGTCGAAATCATCACTTTCCACTTCACTCTCCACTGTCCCCTTTCCTCATTCTTCCTCCATTCTTCCTCTCCCCTTGCCTCCCCATCGGCAGGGCCTGAACAGAAGCTTCTGCACGGCACACCTCCCTCGCAGCATTGCCACTCTCACTCTCAAAGTCGACCCGCCACAAGGCACTACAGATTCCAAGGATAGCATTGAAGCCAATCCCTCTCAGGCCACCAGCGAGGTGACTTTTGAGTCGACTCAAAATTCCCCTGATTCCAAGAGCAGCAGTGCAGCAGCTGAGTTCTCTCAAGGCACTGGCGGCGATTCAAAAGACAGCACCGGAGGAAAGGGAGACGGGGATGGGGAGGGAAAGAAGACGGATGTGAAAGCAGATCGAAAACGGGCGAGGAGTGGAAAGCAGGAGCCGCAGGAGGGGGGTTCGGAGGAGGGGGAGTTTCAGCAGCTGCTGGGGGAGAGGAGGGCGGTGATGGGGGGGGTGTATGCGGTTGGGGAGGGCGAGTGGCGAGCCACATACCTGCCGCACAAGACAGGGTTGAGTGGCGGGTGGCGGGGGTTTGCTTTGGATCAGGAGCTGGATGCGGGTGATGCCGTGGTGTTTGAGAAGATGGACCCGCACACACTCAAGGTATGCAAGCATGTGGGTGCCGTGCAGTGCCGTGCATTGCAGTGCGGTGCAGTGCGTGGATATGTTCGAGGTCAGGCAGGGTTGGGTTGGGGTGTGATGGGGATGGAGGGGGGTTTTTTTGGATCAGGAACTCGATGCGGGCGATGCTGTGGTGTTTGAGAAGATGGACCTGCACACACTTAGGTATGCAAGCATGTGGGTGCCGTGCAGTGCCGTGCAGTGCAGTGCCGTGCAATGCAGTGCAGTGCCGTGCAATGCGGTGCAGTGCGGTGCGGTGCAGGTGGATACATTCAAGGTTGGGTTGGGGTGTGATGAGGTGAAGCGGGGGTTTGCTCTGGATCATCGCCTTTGGAAGCTCTCAAAAATGCGGGCGATGCTGTGGTGTTGAAGAAGATGGACTCACAAACACTCAAGGTATGATGGGGTTGAAATAATAATTGGAGAGGAAGGGGGGGTTGTTGGGAGGTGTTTGGGTATGAAAAAGGGTGGGGAAAAGGGTTGAGTACTTAGTTGGCTCTTGCATCAAGGCATAGCACAGGGATCTTGCGCTTGATAGGAATACACCTGAGAGTCAGAGAGAGGCTGCGGGCAGGTAACTAGTTAGTCAACTCAAAGTCTCTTTCGTGCCTATCCTCAAAGTCTCTTTCGTGCCCATCCTCAAAGTCTCTTTCGTGCCCATCCTCTTGTGAAATGCAGGTTCACATCTTCAGAGCAGCAGACTTTGAAGAGCAGGCACTGGAGATCAAGTCGGAGGGCAGGTCAGGCAGTAGCAAGAGGAGAATGAAGACCTGAAAAGGATGAACCGATGGTGCTGTGTGTGTGCATCACTTGATCTGACCTACTCACAGCACAACACTCCTTGCTTCTGTCGTTAGTCGGACCCATACAGATCCTGTGGTGTGGAGCCTTAGGTGATTGCCCCTTGTTGGGGTGTGTAGCTCATCCCAACACACTTGCTGGTTGTTTGTACCGTCTTTCTTTCCTTAACACTGACCAAAATATTCATGCTTGTGATATTCTAACAACTACCATAATGTTCCAGAAGCTAATGGGTTTAGCTTTGAAGCAGGCCCCTAGATTCGTTTTGAGGTAGTCTGAGGCCTCAGAGTACACCCCTCCTGGAACTCTGTCTGTCAGAGGTGCGTCAAAATTTTAGTCTGAAAATTCAGACAAGCACAATTTTTTTTGTCTGAACTGTCAGAGCTACTTCAAATTTTAAGATGTTCATGCAGTTTCGTAAAAGCAGTTATACAATTGATGCCCAACCTGTGCACGCGGATTTGCCTTGCGCCGGATGGAAACGCTGCACCTGAGGTTGTTTCCCCAGCCTGTTGCTCCCATGTTAGGACGTGTGAGATTTTTTATGGAGTTCGTAATCAGGGTCGAACTTTTGGTGGTTACCCTTTTCGCCAATGTTCGCTAACCGCCTCGCCGAAGTCGAAACAAATTCCCCGTTTGGGAAGTGCGAACCCTCATTTGTGAACTTGATACAGAAAAATTCGTGAACTTGCACAAACACAAAGATCCAAACGTGTGTGGTGTCAGGCACGTACGAGGTTTCAGCGAACCTCGCGACTCGTTCGTGCGCCAATGAGATCACAACCAAGACACAGCGCATTGCTGAACTCGCTATGGCCACCACGTGGCACAATTCGTGCCACGATGGCTAGTCGTGCGCGCGTCTCTCCCAGCGCACACAGATGTGAAGTTGAGCTGGAGGTCTAGGGCTCACTTTTTTTAGCAGCGCTCCGGTGACGTGTCGCGCTGTGGTGTGCTTGAAACCGGGTAACCTACAGTCTCCAATTGCGGCTCGGTTCCCCCTCTGTAAATTCGAACTTGCAAATTCGCACCTTGGTGTGTGATTGTGAGTATACAAGAATTTGCACTCGCGGTGCGAACCTTGCCACATCTCAAAATCGATTCAAGTTCAGGTTATAAAACCCTGCTTAAATCGAGTAAAAAACGTGAACTTTCATAAACCCTTGTTTCACACACGTCCTTATAAGCGCGTCGCGTGGTTATCAACCAATAGTAACGAACAGACCGAGGTCAAGCAGAAGAGACTGAAGTCAAATAAGGTAACAGATCTACTTTATAAGCACCTGCGAATCCTTTTTAGCTACCTGCGAGCTGACGAAACTTATGCGAAATGCTCGTTACGGCTTATACGCCCCCTTCACAAGGCAACCGGGAGGGGCTCAAACAGGCATCAATTGTAATAGCATTGAGGCTGATTACAGCCTACCATACCAACGCATCAGGCAACGTGTTCGTGCTCGTGCATCGCCTCTGCTCATGTCGGCGGCGTTCCAGTGTTTTTGTCACGTGCAGCGCATGGTTGTTTCTGCTCTGCTGATCTCATGTGTGCCGATTTTGTCAGTTTTGGATTTGCATTTCAAGCGATTCGATCGTTCACCCGATCTGTATCAGGTGGGCCAAGTGCCACGCAGCTGAGCTGGTAGGGAGGCAGAAACTGTTGCTTGGTGTGGCACAGGCCCTACGATATCAGGAATTTTCCCCTGAAATTCCTGATTTCCAGGGTTTTTTTTTAACCTACACTGATTTTCCAGTGTTCAGCTTTTTGTGGGGCTGATTTTTCAGCCTTCACCTAGCACATGACTCTGAACTTTCAGCAATCTTTTTCTAGAGACACTGATTCCACTACGTTGTAACGAATCCGACCCTGAAAGCGATTCCTACACGGTTCGTGTGTAGTTGCCCAGCTGTACAGGGAATATCAGATTCCCGCGGTGTCAGCAGGGCGTAGCGGTGAGTAGCAGACAAATTTGCCTCGTAGAGGGATGCGTTGTTGGCGCGCGTGGTGCGATGATTGGCCACTTTGACAGCATTTCCTGATTTGGCCAATTACAGGGTTGCAGCACAGCGATGCTGGCAGGCAGCGCAACGAGGGATTCAGGCCCATGTGAAGCACCTGTGGTCCTCTGGCCCGTTTTGTCTAAGTCGTGCTGGCAAGCACGGATGCATCCACGCCGCCCAGCCGTGCTGCCAGCCATCCAGTCTCCCACCCCAGTCTGCTCCATGCTTTCCTTCCATCTAGCAAGGGTAAGGTTTCATCGCGTTGCTGCCTGGTGTACCAAGAGGCAGTCAGCCGTGTGTCCTCTCTTCCTGGCAAACCTCCATCGTTCAGCTAGCTAGGGAGTTCCGTTAGATGTTGCTTGTTCACAGCGCAATCAATGGCGGACCACCCGGACGCCATTGAACGACCTGATGACCCCGGCGATGAACACGCTCGTCGTTCGCCAATTGATCTGTCCGCGGCCGTTACCGGGCTGGATCTGCTATTCTCCAACTTAGCGGCTGTAGATAACCATGGAAAGGCGCCTGCAGTCGCGCCGACCGTCGATGTTCCATTTGAACCCATCGACGAGCCTCTGTGTCCCTCCCCTACTGCGCCCGTGTTGGAGCAAGACAGCTCCAACCCTTCAGGTGAAGAAATCGCGGCGGTGCCAGTGGCTAAGAAGGCCGCCAGGTACACGCAGTCAACGCTGCCGTGGCCCAAGACGGGAGGTCCCGCTGGTGCAATACCGGCTTTGCCAGCCGACCAACTGTCGACGCCCGCGACCGCAGGCACGCAGGCGTCGCCCTCAACACCTGGGCCTTCTAAACCGGCTGGGCCAGACGCAACCTACGCGGAGGCTCTGTATAAGTACAAAAGCGAGTGGCTCGAGCGGTTTTCTTGGCTTATTCTGCTAAAAAAAACTGACGGTTTCCCCGCTTTCAAGTGCAGCATATGTACGGTGCACGCAGGCTACGCTGGACCGTGTGAGAGAGGCGGAAAGGGCGCCACAGACGTTCAGACGCAGGCGTTCAAATGGCATGCGGCAACTACCAAGCACAAGGAGGCGTTGAAACACCAGCAGAAGCTTCTCGACGATGCCGCTACGCAGCCACGGATCAACGGCGACAATCTCGCTCGCGACACGGAGAAGGAGCGGGTCGTCAAGCTCCTTGACTCCCTGCTCTTCGTGACTAAGCAAGATGCACCCATAGAGTTATGGGTGAATCTTGTGCGCTACCTCGCGCGACTCAATGTGCCCGGGTTCCCAGCAAAAGGCTACGGAACCTATTATACTACGTGAGTGTTGAATCTAACTGCAACCGTGTTTGTGAATTAATCTAACTGCAACCGTGTTTGTGAAAATCAACCGAATTATCTGACGTTGTGTTGTTTGACATGCGCTGCAGCTACGGCTTCGGACAGCTGACACAGTCGATGGCCACATGGTTGCACACTACGCAACTGCAGCACATCCTCAGCAGCCCATACATTGGCGTCACATGCGACGAAAGCACGGATAGGTGTCGGGGAAAGCATATGATTGTTTTCGCGACATTCATCCGTGAAAATCGTCCCGTGACTGAGTTCCTTGCCCTGCTGACCGTGGAGAAGGGCGATGCAGCCTCTCTCCTCTCAGTGCTCTTGTCTCACCTGCGGGCCCTAGGCATTGAACTGGCGAGGATATCCGGCATAAGCACTGACGGAGCGAGTGTGATGATGGGGAAACACAACGGCCTTGTCGCTCGACTTCGCCTCCGCATCCCGCATCTTGTTTCGAGCCACTGCATCGCCCACAGGTCAGTTTTCATCTTCTGTTTACTGCTTCCATACAGTCCCTGCTGCATCCCCTGCTAACCCCTCCTTGAGTCGGTTTTAATGCTGGTGTGCATGCACGGAGGCCCTCGCAGCAAAGGACGCCGCTGAACAACTCCCCGAGTTCGGCATGGTGGACTCCCTGCTCCGCCAAGTGGCAGAGCATTTGGGGCGTTCTGGCCCGTGGCATCAACGCTTCATTGGCCTGCAGGAGGTGTTCACGAAAACAAACCTGGAGCTACAAGGGATCCACGACGTCCGCTGGCTCTCCCGCAGTGACGCCATTCTGCGCGCGGTAGAGGTCTTCCCCGCGCTGATCGTGATGCTGTATGAGTGGGACAGCACCCTCTACGAGCTCGCCACGAGCTACAGGTTTCACTTTCTGCTATACTTCCTTGCAGACGTCCTCGAGCAGCTCAATGTGCTGAACAGGGCATTCCAGCAGCGTGAGGTGAGCTTGGTTACTATCGTTGCTGGATTGTGTGCCTTGTTTCGGCTTGAGAGTCACTGTTTGATGTACTGCTTAAGCAGAATCTGCTTTGCACTGATTTGGCCTTCTCTCCATCCTCTGTTCGCCCTGTTGACCCCTAACAGCTGGACATTGCAAGTGTCCACGGGCAGATCCGCCGGTCGATTTCATTCCTAGAGTCCCGCTACATCGACTGTGGTGACGACTTTGGAGGCAGGGTGAGCGCGCGCCTCTCCCCGTTCATCAAGAAGCACGGGCCTGACGGGGGCAATCCCGAGGTGAAGGTGCAGGGAGCCGACTCGGACGGGCGGCCCACGACACACACCTTCGAGCTGCACGAGAAGCCGAGCGAAGACTACCCGACCCTCGGCTCCCACGACGCCTGCGTCGATCTCTACACCACCTTCGCCGAGACGCTCGTGCAAAACCTCAGCACACGGTTCCAGGACCTGGACTCCCTGGTGGGAGTGCGGCTGTTCATGCCTGACGAGTGGGAGCTGGGGAGAGCGGAGCGCCACAAGCAGTGTCTCGAGTGGCTCGAGTCTCTCGTGAGGCTGTTCAGGGCACAGGACACGGACTACATCATTCCAGGTATTCCCGCTCTCGCACTGTTGCCTTCTTCTTATTGTGTCATTGCATTTCATCAACGTATGGTGTACGCACTTGCCAACCTTTCAAAAACCCCCTCTCTCTCCCTTCCGCATTATGTGG